GTGGCCGTAGGGCATATATATATATATATGTATTTATAAAAACGAGTGGCTTAAAGACCAAAACGAAATACGTCAATCAAGCAGTAAGAAGCTGTGAGTAGTGAGTCCTGCTACAAGCACTTCACACACACAACACACATTCACACACACACACACACACACAACTCACTCAAGAAACGAAACTGCGAACGGAGAGGCCTCAACTGTCGCCTACTTGACTCTTGTTTTTTGCTCATTAAATCAACACCTTGTGACCATTGTGGCACAGAGTACAATGGGCATTGAGACCTGTACAGATTTGTTTTGGTTTAAAGCAGAAGAATTTTGGTTGTCGCAAAGGGATTTTGCATTTGAATGTTTTTGCGATTTCAATTTAAAATGGGAGAAAAAAACGGAATGTCAAAGCATGCCACAAAAGGTGCGCAGTTCGCTCTCATTCTGCCTCTCACTCTCCCTCTTTCTCTCTGTTTTTTCAGTTTCAAGTACTTGGCCTTTTGACTCTTAACTTAATTAATGTCATTTCTCACTTAGTTGTGCAGTTAGAGAAGATACAGATACAAATGAATCTTTGCAGCTTTCAGTTAACTACGAGCTGCAGTTGAGTTCTGAAATTACTTGCTGTACTTAGCGTGTTTACATAAATTAGCTGCAGTTGCAGTTGCAGTCGCTGCTGCAGTTGTTGCTGCTGCTGCTGCTGCATTTCGCAGGACGTCAGACAAAAGTTTGTGCTAAAGAATTTCCTCGTAAAAATGACGCATACCAAACTTAGACACAACGGGGACAACGCATCGTCGATGTCGTCGATGTCGTCGCTGTCGCCTGACGACGGATCCGTTCCAAAACTCAACGAGGCTCAACTTCTGTTTGTTGTTGTGGTTGGGCCCTGTACCGAGCCCAATACCAAATTGGTATTGGTGTGCCGAGCAGGCGAAATACTCGTACAATAAATAACGCAGCAAAAGAAAGAAAAACTAAAATAAGAAACTACAAAAACAAAATGAAAAAAGAAAAAATTAAACCGGCAATAAGACGAACCTTAAGATACTCTAGTTTAAATGTGCTTTGGAGAACCAGCTAATTACATACATATATAAGTAATTAGATTGGAATATATGCATAAGAATATATAGGAGGATAATAAGCCCCAACCATATTTTTCTTTACAATTAAACTCACAACTATCAATTTAAAACTTTACTAAAAATTCCTTAAAATTTCATTTGAAAGTACAAGACTTTATATAAGATTTATAAGAAGAAAGCATAGCCTTAAGAAACTCTAGCTAATATTTTACTACCAAAGTTAGGTTTAAATTACAAACAGAATCGTTTCATCAGACTTTTCAAGTTTTTTTCGTTAAATTTTCTTAGAGCATAATCCCTCTCGCTTAGCCGTTACATATTTAGCTTCAATGTGCATATACCCCTTTTGATCAGTGCATAAATGATATATAAATAAAAAGCAAACAGCGCAAACAGCGCTGCAGTTGAAGTTATTTGTGAAATTCATCCGTCAAAGTCGCTGCTGCAACCAACGGCCCTGGCCACTGTCTGTCYGTCCGCGCCGTCCGTACTGTCCGCTGTAGCCATTGGCTACTGTTCGCTGGCCAAGTCGGTCGTCGCATTGCGTCCAGTCAGACTTTGGGTCTTTGGGCTTGGGGCTTTAGGTTTGGGGCTTGGCGTAAAACTTAAAAAGCGTTCCTTTCATGGCTTTGCCATTGTCTTTTGGCCGGCTACTGGTCATGCCGCGCTGTGTGCTATGTGGTAGCTGCCTCCTGSCTGCTGCCTGCGCTTGCTCTGGCTCTGGCTCTGGCTCTTCCTGCCGCCCCGCTGTGACATTCCTGGGCACCGTTCGGCTTGGAATGATGAACGATGTGTCGCTGATGACCTGATCAAAGTGGAGCATCTGCACGCATATCGATTGCACTCGGCTTGAGCAGCGAACGGACTAGGAGAGCAGGCAGGGAGAGAAGGATAGAGATACAGAGAGAGAGAGAGAGAAAGAGAGAGAGAGAGAGAGAGGGAGGGTGAGAGGGCTGCTGGGGCAGTGCTGCATGTTTAAGGACATGACATTTTTTGTCGTACCGTTTGCTAAAATAACTTTGTTAAGATTTTTGCAAGTTTGCAACTCGCTTTGGGGGCAGACAAAACTCAGTCACAATTCGCTGCGAAAGGGACAAATTTGACATGGCAGGAGTAGCAGCAACAGTAGCAGCAGCAGCAGCAAAAGCAGCAAAAGCAGCAACAGGATCCCAAGTCCCAAGCCTTTGTTTGCTGCATTTCAATGAGACGCGATAAATCTTCAGCTTGTTACAGAGCAGCGCTCTGGGGGCACCCGGTGAGGCTCTGCCTCGAGACAGTCAGCCAAGTTAACAGCTAACAGACAACGACATTGGTTGCTCTTGTTGTTGTTGTTGTTGCTGCTGCTGCTGTTGTTTGCTTTTGGCCCGGTCAGCAAGTCGCTGACCGATTTTATGACAAATGTATTTTATGAACTGTCAAAATAGGTGTTGAAAATGAATTAATTTGCTCTCGACTCGCTGACTGACTGCCTGACTGACTGACTGCCTGACTTGCTTTTGGCGGCAAACATCAGACTCGTGAGCGTGACATTTGCAACGAATCACCGTTCATCGTTTGCCGTGCTGGGTTCGGGGTTCGGGGTTCGGGGGTCGCTGCTTCAGCTGCGCCTGCGCCGAAATATGAAACCTGCCAATTACTGTGCGACTTCCTACGCAATCAGCTCGCTTGCATTTCACAAAGCATATAACATACAGCTAGAGATTCCACACCCCAACTATGAAATCTGTTTAATTTAATCAACAGCAGCGCATTGGGTGGGCGTGGCAAACACGTGACAAACGCCCGTTAGAAATAGTCCAGCAATGCAGCTGTCTAGCCAATATGTGTTAGCCAGGTAATGAGAGTAAGATGGT